TTAACCGATGAGAGGTGAGTCTTCGTACGCTTGTTGATGCAAGAATAGTGGAACTGGTCTATGAACTTGCTGCCCAAGTCCTGGTAGCTCCCAACTGAGTACTGGGGAAGGTCTTAGAACCATTGCCGAGCAAATCCGATGAGGGTTTTGAAGACCCCTCGACACTGCTCGACGTCGATGTATCCTGCTTGACGTACTATGTGGTAGGTCCGGTGCCCCCAGCTTTGAGTTCTGTCCTTACGTGGTTGAATACTCACCTCCTTAATACGGTCTAGGTCTTCTTGGCCGATACCCGCTTGAGACCTACTCGGTCGGCTGGATGTTTCCATGCTGGTATGGAAATCAATATTAGACCGCATTGCCACACGCCTGGAGCTTCCTTTGTTGACCTTATCCGTAAGGTCTTTCGATCCCGCCGATAGTCCAAGAGACGCTAGGGGGTCCTGGCTTCCAAGTACTTCTTAAGTCGAGACCCAGAGTTTGGTCGCCCAGGACGAACTCCATTAGCCTTAGTGTTTGAGAGGCCATATGGACGTTAGCTGCTTGCATCTCATTGTGGAACCCCGAACTTTTGCGGTAAGGGCGCCCTACTATTGAACAATATTGTGTCCCTTATGTGCAAGTATACACGTTCGCTGTAGCAAGTAATAAAAAGTTCAAATCCATAGGGAATGCTCACTAAACACTTTAATAGTGGCTCATTGAAGCTAAAATCTAAATGCAAAATGTTGAATAGCAAAGATAACACGAGTAATATAGAAAATAAATGTTGCGATGCACAATGAATATTATAAACCTGAACTTAAATTGAATCCAAATGGCTTTTTAATAAGGACAGTAGGCAATGAAAACCGTTAACGAGTTACTCTTTAACAGGGTAAGGGGGAAAGTTGGATATGACTTTTTTTGGACTACTCAAACAATGCTATAGCATTAATAATGTGAGTACTATCTAAATAGACATGGAGCCTTCCCAGACGTCCCAGAGTTTCTGCTGTTAGGTTTTTAGACAAACTTAACAGCATTTAGTAGTAGTTTATAACTGCGCTAGGTGAGTCCTATTCCTAAATACCCACTCTCTAACTCAAGCAGATTCTAGCATAAATTGGAGTTTATCACTCCCTATTACACTTTCCAAGAGTTAACAAGGAGATATTCCAACAATCGTGATCAAGCATGCTGAAAATAACTTTAAACACAAGTTCAACTCAATACTCATTCATCATTAATACTAATAGAACAGTTTACAGGCCAAGAGTTCACAACATTTGCCCCTTACAAATAGGTTTAGCTATGCATAGTCATAGAAATAAAAAACAAAAAGGTGACAAGAAGACTACAATAAGAAATAGACACAAGAATGAAAAGAATGAGCTGAAGGTTCAGCTCCTTATAGACTGCTCTTTCTTTCTGTTTCAGCAACTACTTCGTGTCTCCACCTTTTCTTCTTGGCTTCTTTAAACTGTATTTGGGAGGTTTTCTTGAAGTGAGGGTTGATTGATGTGAAAAGTGTCTGGATGCTTCCTTTAATGTTGGCTTTTCTACCCTCATTTGTTTTTAGGGCAACAAACAGCTTCATGGGCTCATCTCTCACTTTCAGGTCATTTCATCATTTACTATGGTATCTCCCAAATTAAAGCTCTGTCACTGTCACTGTCAGTCTGTCGCTTTCTACTATTTTCTGATTCCGATGTAGTAGCGTAGTTGATGTTACAACAAAGTGCTTAAAATTAGAACTTCTAATAAAATCGCAACGTTAGGAAGAGAGGAAATATTCTAATATTTCATACACCAACTTAGTGTAGAATTGGTGCAATTGAGGCTATCTTAAGCTTATCTATATGAATTTCTCACCAAAATAACTCTCTTTTGGAAAGTTATCACACCTCCAAACTTGAACTATTGCTGGTCCCCAAGCAATACTAGTGGTTGTCAATTCAAGTGGTGGAATTATGATCACTATGCATGCCAACTACTTCTGTCCACTACCTAAGATCCCTTGCTGTGATAAGTATTTCTCAATCTACTCAAGCATTCTATCAGAAAGAAAATAAACAACTCTTGCACGAAGACTCATGTGCTTTATTCACACAGACCATTTCATTCCACCCTCACCCTTAAAAGCCTTCGAAAGATCTCCTCATCCTCCTTTCTAAAACTGGCTTCTCTACTTATGATTGCTAGCTCACTACTGCCCTCCTAGGATAGCTATGGGCTACTAGCCATTCTGGACCCTGCAGTTCTTTGCAATGTTTTTTTTTTTTTTTTAGAACTGAATTACAAGGCCAAAAATTTAACATAGCTTTACAATTAGGAAATACAAGAGAAGGAGTGTTGCAGTAAGAATCAAGATCCCTTACCCTCAAACTTGAAGCAAAGCATTGTCCTTAATGCTTAATGGATGGAGTTGAATGAATGAGGACAAGGCTCCCCTCAAACTTAAACTGAAGATAGGCTGAATATATATGATGTAGGGAGTACTACCTATCACGATTGTCTCTAGAATGGCGATAATCCTGCAGATTTGTCTACAGGACTTTAGCTTACTGGCAGTATGCAAAGAGGGAAATTAGCCCTCGAAGTTCAGCTAAGGATAAATTTCTAGGGAAGCTAGGGGATACTAGCAGAGTGAAATTATCATATGCTACTTTAAAACGCCTTAGAAAAAGGGCAACGGCCGAGAATTTCCTTCCTAACTTCAGCAAGAACAGACATCCTTCAAATTTCCATAAAACAAACATCGCATACAAGAATTAAAAATAGACTAGCATGCACAGCTCACTTATTCCACACTGAAGTCCTCAACATTTTTAATCGTGTTATTTTCATTTATGAGCCATTGAGTTGCTTTAAAAAAAAAAGAGAAATAAAAGAAAACTAAACAGCTGCCTACTAATATTTAATCTAACAAAACTACTAACCACCTATCTATCTAATACAAGTACAATGCAAATTACTAAATTTAAAGGACAGGAATGTAAAAATGCATAAAACTAAAAATGTTTTGAGCAAGGGAAAATCAACTCCCTTTGTTATCCTTCTTCTTCATCACTAGCGCCGGTCGTGGGATGAGATGCACCAGCATCTTCTTTTTCAACAATCTACTCCTCCGGAAATTTAGGGAATGGAGGGAATAGGTGAGAAAAGTTCCTCATCAAGGCCTTGCGAATCACAGTTTCTCTTTCTCTTGCATAACGCATATAAGCATGCTGCTTTCTTTCTGTTGCAGCTA